ATCTCACACTCTTAAAAACGTCTGTCTTTTCTGACTGTCATAGATCAAGTTTCCAAGTATCTAAAAGCCTATTTCTGGCTTTTTTATTCTTTTCTCTTTGTTTGTTTTCATGCCAAATTACATGATTTTAGTAACTGTAACCTTCTATCTTCAGACTATTTTATTAATATTATTTTTAAACTTTATTAAAAAAATTTTTTTAACGTTCATTCATTTTTGAGAGACAGAGAGAGCGCACAAGCTGAGGAGGGCCAGAGAGAGAGGGAGACACAGAATCTGAAGCAGGCTCCAGGCTCTGAGCTGTCAGCACAGCCTGATGAAGGGCTCAAATCCACGAACTGTGAGATCATGACCTGAGCCAAAGTCGGATGCTTAACCAACTGAGCCACCCAGGTGCCCCTATTTTTTTATTTTAGAGAGGCAGAGACAAGCATGAGTTGGGGAGAGGGGCAGAGAGAGAGAAAGAGAATCTTAAGCAGGCTCCACACTCTGAGCAGAGTCTGACACGGGGCTCGATCCCATGACCCTGGGATCATGACCTGAGCTGAAGTCGAGTCGGATGCCCAATCGACTGAGCCACTCAGGTGCCCCTGGAGTATTTTAAATGGAGTGTTTCAGGGACACTGGTTTATCCTCAGGAAACAAATATCCGACCTCATGCCACAGTGTGGTTCCATGGCCGTTAGACTTTGAAGGTGCATCTTGGTTCAACAGGTACATCATAGGATATTAGGGATTCAAGCCTTAAAGGAACGGGAAGGTTTAGGTGTGTGGGAGAGGGTTATATAATAAGATGAATATCAATTTGGGAGGAAATAGAAAGTGGACTTCTTGAATGTTAGAACCAGAAGGGACCTTTGAAGCCACTAGAGATTGTGTGGAGTATTTGGCTAAGAGATCAGTCTTTGGAGTCTGGTAAACCCAGGTTTGATCTTCACCAAGATTCTTAACCTCTCTGGATCTTAATTTTAATTTCCTCGTTTATAAAATGGGAGCAATGATGGGTTTTCCTTAGGGCACTATTGGGAGTGTCCGGGCACATGGCTGCACAAAAAGTAAATGGTAGCTACTTATGGCCCTATCATTTCCTTGATTCTAGGGCCAACCTCTTTTTCTTTTGTCACAGTTTACAATTCTGGAATTAGAACAGGCTTTTACTATCGTTCCCAGGTTGTTTAATATGTGGGACACAGTGTTTTATAGACCAGGCAGTTGGGCCAACATGCCCTCTGCAGGACTCGCCCCCAAGTTGATTTGCCCATCCTAAGACTCCTCTTTATTGCTAATCCTAGAGAGAAGGCGGAAGGGGAAAAAAACCCATCCTAACTTGGGGTGGGGATGGCCTCTAAGCCATGAGGTGCTGTAGGCAAACCGATGCCTCCCAGAAAAGAGAAGTTGAGAGGGAATCCTGACGAATACAGATGTCCCTTGCCTGGCACACGACACCCCCACCTTAGGGTGTGGTAGGATCTGGAAACAGATGTAGTTTCTGCTCCTGGCCCTGCCACTTCCAAGTGTGCCCAAGTCAGGGGACCTCTGCCCCTCTGCTCAGGGGGGCCCGTGTCACAGGCTGTGTGACTTGTGAGCGCCCAATGAATGGAGCCGCCAGTCATTGTCCCCTGCGGCACGCCTGTCCCCTCCTGCCACCTTGCCTCAGCTCTGCTTGGGGTTACCTACTCATTCATCCCATCCGCTCTACACATCCTGCGTACTCCTCAAAGTCCATCTTAAATGTTACCTCCTAGTTCAACCCCTTTGGCCCCCCCCCCGCCCCCCGAGTTCTCTGTGAGTATTGCCTGACTTTGGGTCTCTTTGTCTCTTAGGGAGATTTTCCTAATTCTGCCTTATAGGAGGACTTTGATAAAACACAGCAGACCGCTAGCCTTTGAGGGCCAGAGCGTGTCTCAGGTTTGCAAACCCTGGGTACAGTTCCAGCACAGAACAGCACCGCAGAGAATCAGAAGTCGTGTTGAGGCACACACTTGCCGAGTGTCTGCTGTGGGCCGAGCCGTATAGTAGTGAGCAGAACAGATGCACTGTGTGCCTTCATGGAGCCCGCTTCCCATGGCTTCCACCCCTGCCCCAGAATGATCCTGGCTGAGCAGAGAGGTGCCCCCGTGCCCAGGCCAGCTCGGCTTTCATGACCTCGCTGATCCGCGTGTGTGACCGTGGGCGATAGTCTTCTGATGGTGCTGTGTGAGAGCTGGGCTCAGAAGGTCGGTCCGGCCCCAGGGTTGGCGTCCAGGCAGGCATGGGAGGGAGGGGCCCTGGAGTGTGGGTGTGGAGGAGGGGAGGGTGAGGGGGGGAGACCGGAGGGGCGGGGCGGGGCGGGGGTGGGGGAGGCACGCAGTCCTGTCTCTGCGGCTGGTGGAGAGGCTGTAACCCCAGACCCAGGACCCCGCCCCCTAGCTCCCCTCCCAGATTCGAGGTCCCTTGTTATGTTCAGGCTCAAAACTGCCCTGCATGGGGCATGAGGGGTCTCGGTGTGCCTGAGCTGGGGCTGTCCCACAGGGCCTGGAGTCAGTGTTAACTGAGGCCTGGGGCACCTGTAAGCCCCGAGTGATGACCCCTGGTGCCTCAGGCCTTGTGCCAGAGCTGCTACATTTCCCCTCAGAGAAGGTGGAGGACACTGGAAACCCAGTTAGGGTGTGTGAGGCTCCATTTTATGTCACCGTTAACAGAGTGTTGGCTCCGGAGCCCGGAAACGCATGTTAAAGTCAGGCTCTTGCAGAAAGCTAGGAGCGTTGGGTAGGTCAGCAGGTTGCGTCTCCTGGACTGGCAGGCAGGCAGGATGAGAGTTCGGGGCTTGCGCCTCCTCCCTCTGATGGGAAGGGTGCCCCGCACATCGTCCTGAGTGATAACTGGGCCTTGGTGCATTGCTGTGTCCACTGGTCCCGTTTCCAGGCCTGCTGGGAGCCGTGGGAAGGCGCTCCGCGGCCCACAGCCCTGTGTCCGTCCTGCTCACTTCCGAGTCCCCACAACTCGGGTGGCGTCTGGCAGTGCTTGTTGTCAGCAGATATTTGGAAGGAATGGTTTCATCGCCTGTGCCTTGCCCTTTCTGTTCTTTGCAGGGAGGAGCGTGTTAGCGTCCAGTGGCTGCTTTACAAATTGCTACAAACCTGTTGGCTTAAAACAAAACAACAGAAGTTTATTGTCCCGGAGCTCTGGTGGCTGGAAGTGGGACATCCGGTGGGACCATGCTCCTTCCTGGGGCTTCAGGGAAGCCAGTGTTTGCACCTTCCTGCTGGGGGGGGGGGTGTCCAGGTGTTTTTGGCCTCCAGTCTCTGCTGCCGCATTATCTCCTCTCCTCTCTGTCTCCCCCATGTGTCTCTTACAAAGACACTTGTCATTAGATGTAGGGACCTCTGGATAATCTAGGAGTATCTCCTCATCTCAGTATCCTTAATTTGATTGCATCTGCAAAGACTTTTTTTTTTTTTTTTCCAAATACAGGATGATGACATTCACAATTCTGGAGATGAGGGTATGGACAGACCTCTTCTGGGAGGCAGCAGCATGCAACCCACCCCGGGGGTTCTTAGGATTTTTCTAATCATGGCTGTTGTAGCTATTTGAAAGCTGCTAGCCGCTGGGTTTGTGCGGTTTGCATTTAAGTTTTGTGTGTGCGTGTGTGTGTGTGTATGTATACATATAAATACCTATTGAGTGTCAGCTAAGTATGATTTATGTTTGCATAAAACCTTAAGAAATTGGGGGCTCCTGGGTGGCTCAGTCAGTTGAGCGTCTGGCTCTTGATTTCAGCTCAGGTCATGATCTTGCAGGTGTGGGATTGAGCTGCTCTGTACAGAGCCTGGAGCCTGCTTAAGATTCTCTCCCTCTCTTCCTTTGGCGTTTCCCCCTTCATACTGTCTCTCTCTAACATAAAAAAATAAAAACCAACCTTAGGTAATTTACTTTTTAGTCCAGTGGGAACTTGTTTTGATATTTGCTGTGAGGTGAATACCTGTAAAACCCAGGGAATTGTGAGTCAGTTCTGTAGTTTGGTGAATTGCATGTGCCATAGCCAGTTTCCTGGTTTTGATAACATACTGTACTTGACTTCAGATGCCACTGGAGAAACTGGGGGACAGGCACTCGGGACCTTTCTGTACTGTATTTGTAACTTCTTGTGAGTCTGTCCCTATCTTAAAAAAATTCAAACAGCCAACCAGATTTACCAATACCAGTCATGAAATCAGGTATTCTCTCTTAATTGTAAACCATCCTTTGTTAGGTGTGAAATGTATTAGGACGTTTTAGAGTTGTGGCTACGCTTATTTACTCTTGGAAAAATTGGCATCATTTGATATATGGTCTTACTCTCAAGAAATATGGTGTATCCTGCTTATTCAGACTGTATATTATTTCCTAATAAAACGTGTGTAGTCACCTTCAGGTTATTCACAAATGCGATTCATAGATTCAGGTTCTCTCTGTTACTCTGGATCGGTCTTCTGCTCCACATATGTTCTTTAACCAGCTTGTGCTGGTTAGAATCCCCACACCCTTTAAATACATGAAATTCTTTTAACTTGGGAAAATGCTTTTCATTCTGCAGTTAGAGACAATGTTTAACAGGCTCTTACTCGTTCCTTTAACCTGCGCTCGGGAAGGGCATGGTCAGTTATTTGCTGTAATGTGGATTTGGGTGAGTGGCTGTGTTCTCCCTCCTGGTGAATGGAGGGTGTCCTTTATGAAGAAATGAGAAGTTATGTTCCATAAATTAAATGTTAACTCCATTTTGTTGAATTCCGGTTCTTTGAAAACTGTAGAAGTGCTGTGTCTTGGGGTGCCCTAGGGTAACCAGGCTGCATGGACAAGCTGGGGTGTGCATTCCAGAGAGTCCATTGGAGTTGGCCATGGACTGACATCTCTGCTTTGTCCCCTGGGGGCCATAAGGCCTGGGTGGCCACTCAGGAGGTTAAGGAGGCCTCTATCTGGGTGAACCCCAGATTTGAAAACACTCAGAAATGGAAAATGTATTGTTAACCTCCCTCTAGGTCAGTCCTATGAAATCCGGCTGCTGGAGAACCGGAAGCTGGGAGACTTTCAAGATCTGAACACAAAATATGTCAAGGCAAGGCTGCGGGGCCATCCCCATCCATCCCCGTCCCCTGTCCCCAGGAGAACCTGGGCTTGTGGGGGTGGGGCTCAGGAGGTTTGGGGAAAGCTCCGAAGCTCATTGTCTCAGGGGCCAGGAGCAAGCTGGTGGCACTGTGAACCGGAGGGACCTGGGCTGTTGGAGCGGGCTCTGGGTTGGACATGACTGAGGTTTGAGCCAGGTTTTGCCACTTACTGAGCTTCCCTGAGCTCTAGTTTGCTCATCTGCACAAAAGGTATATAGCTCAGCCATGCGTGTAAAGCACTTGGTAATCCTGGACAAAGGGATAGCCATCATTTTCACTGCATGAGCGGGGGAGAAGCGGGCAGAGCTTGAGAGCTGGGAAGGAAGGCTCCAGCCAGTGGGGACTTGGTCTTGAAGGGTAGGACATTTGCCCTGGTAGGTGGTTCCTCTTGGGTCCTGGTTGGCCGCACACTCAGCTGTGCCCTGCTGGCCTCCCCTTCTGCAGAGCATCATCCGAGTGGTTTTCCATGACCGCCGGCTGCAGTACACGGAGCACCAGCAGCTGGAAGGATGGCGGTGGAGCCGGCCCGGGGACCGCATCCTGGACATCGGTGAGTCCCCTGGACTCCTGGGGGCCCAGGCACTGCAGGCACATCGGGGTTCTTCCTGGATACCGTGAGTGGGACTCACGCCTGTCGGGGGGACGCTTCAGTGCACTCCTGCCTTGGGCAAAATGCTGTGGGAATCGGACAGGTGACTGTGCCCTCAGGCCTGTCCTGGGAGACTTCCCCTTCCAGCGAATGCAGCATTAACCTGCGCAGTCCCCTCCCCCCTGCCCAGCAGGCTTTGCAGGGGGCCCTGCTGGAAAGGATCTGATCTGTGATGAGGGAAGCTCAGCGTCACGGAGATAGGCGACAGAGACAGATGTGGGAGTCTTAGGCACGGTCCATGGTCTTTTATCTGTAACCCCAGGAGCCATCTGGGTTTCGGAATTTAGAACATAGATTGACAAGAGGGTGCGTAGACCCCCTAGCTGCAGGCAGTGCCCCCAGCGGGCAGTCAGGCACACCGATACGTCTGCAGCTGACTAGAAAGACTGGTCACACAAATCGGGATGAGGCTCCCGATAGCTTCGCAGTACTTCAAGTCCGGCTCTCTGCCAAATGGATCATGCAAAATGTACTTTTCAGAACTTTCAGCATTTCAGATGGTGCTTACGGAATTCAGACCTGCAATGAGAGTCCTTCCCTAAGTATTTGGGAGTGGCTGACAGTTGCACTTTTGTGTATGTGTGTGCAGATATTCCACTGTCTGTTGGTATCTTGGACCCCAGGGCCAGCCCAACCCAGCTGAACGCTGTTGAGTTTTTGTGGGACCCTTCGAAGAGAGCCTCTGCGTTCATCCAGGTAAGCGGGGGGAGGTTGTCCTCTGGGGAAGCTGAGAGTTTCGGGGCCCAGTCCATCTGCAGGGCCCTGTGGGCTACAGTTCTCTGTTGCAGGGACACACCCTGAAGGGGAGGGGTGCAGGAGTGTGGCCCAGGCGCGGGCTGGAAAAGGATTTGGCCTGTTGTAGAGTCCTGGGTGGAGTCTGCCTATCAACATATAAGGTTGTTACAAAATAGGCGTGTCTTAGTATGCATACATCATATGAAATAAAATGTTTTTCTGTGGTAGTTTCTATGATTACATTATTTGATGGTCAGGCACCTGGGGGGGACTCAGGGACCTGGTGGGGCCCCTGTGCTTCTGGGCTGACATGGGCGGTCTCTCTGGCTATATGTCTTTTTCTGAGCTTCTTCGTTTTTCTACCTGTCTTATGAATCAGAGAGAGAGCATAAAGGTATTACTGCAGTGCCTGGCCCGTATGTAGTAATTGCTCAATAAAAGTTAGTGACTTTTTTTAAAAAACATAACTACAGTATTCTTCCTTTACTTTACTTGTTTACTTTTTTAAAGTTTATTTATTTTGAGAGAGAGAGAGCACGCACATGTGTGCATGCAGAAGAGGGGCAGAGAGAGGGACAGAAAGAATCCCAAGCAGGTTCTGTGCTCAGCATGGAGCCTGAAGTGGGGCTCAATCCTGTAAACCATGAGATCATGACCTGACCCAAAACCAAGAGTTGGTTGCTTAACTGACTGAGCCCCCAAGGCACCCCTCTTACTGGATTTTAAAACCATTATTGCAATATTGTCGTATTACCGCAGTAATGCATTATTATAGTGTTAAAAAAATGAATACACAGTGAGAGCCTTTTCGCGTAGTAGGTACTTAGCAGAAATACAGAAATGACGCCAGCTTCCTGGTCATGCTTCTGCCCGGCCCCAGTAACCTGGACCCTGGGGCCACGGGGGCTTAGCTGTGGTCCCACCTGCTCTGTGGTCTGTGGGGTTTGCCTGGGGAGAGAAGCGAGGGCTGGGGCTGCTGGGGTCCGTGGGCCTGAGCAATGGCAAGACTTAGCTGGTCAGGCAGGGCCTCCGAGGTCAAGGGACCGAAGTGGGAACGTGTGTCCTTTGTAGCGTGGAGACGGGGCCAAGCGGGGAGGCTGAGACAGACCTGCACCTGCCTGGGCGGGAGGGAACCCTTCAGTGGGGAGGGGCCCCTGCGGATCCCAGGGCCCATCCCCACCCCTCTTCTTGCTTCTGGCCCACATTTCCCCTTGCAGGTGCACTGCATCAGCACAGAATTCACCCCGAGGAAGCACGGGGGCGAGAAGGGAGTGCCTTTCCGGGTACAGATCGATACATTCAAGCAGAACGAGAACGGGGAGTACGCGGCACACTTGCACTCTGCCAGCTGCCAGATCAAGGTGTTCAAGGTGGGACATCCGTGCCACGTCCTGCCCGGGGTCACACGCACCCACAGGTTGCCACCTGTGCTGGGCAGTGACGCCAGCATTGACCTGCACAGTCCCCTCCCCACCCAAGGCCCAGCAGGGGGCTCGGCGGCCCTGTAGCACAGGGCTCCGCCGCAGGAGTGGCACGTCCCGGGGTGAAGGGCCTGCCGGCATGGGCGTCCTTCTGTGCTGGGTGCCTTCCGTCTCCGTCACCACAGATGGCTGTACCCAGCTCTGCTTCATAAGATGTGTGGACTTGAATGAGTTTAGGTTTCTGTTTTCCTCCCATGTACTTGGTAGTTGGCCACAGGTTCTGCAGTAGCTTGGTTCTCCTTAAAATGAAGCCAGGAGGCCCCCTGCGGGAGGCCCCAGGCCGTGCCACCTCCCGTCAGGGAAAGAAACGTTTCTGGAGGCCCCTCCTCCCTTCCATGCTCACCCCTGCCTTTCCTGTCTCTACTTGTCATCTGTCTGTCTGGACCGATACTCCCTCACTGTGGTTGGTGGCTGGTGACACAGCCCAGGGTTCCATGTGGCCCCGGGGAGGTGCAGGGTCATGGCCATGTGGATCAGACGCCTTGGTCAGCTAGCAGTGCTGCGGTAGCGCCCTTTGGAGCCCTGCTTCAGGATTACGACTCCTTGAACTCAGACCCACTGTACCGGCTCCTTGTTGTTGCTGTAACAAATTACCGTACGTTTAGGGGCCTAACACCACGCACATTTCTTGTCTCCCAGTGCCCGTGGCCCCGAGTCTGAAAGGGCCTCCTGGGCTGATGGCAAGGTGTGGGGAGGGCCGAATCCCTTTCCGGACCTTTTCCAGCTTCTAGAGGCCTCCTTGGCCGGGCCCTTTCCTTGCCATGCCGCACCTACCTCCTCCCTCCATCCCTGGTCCCCTTCTGCGGGCCTGTGATTGCATGGGGCCCAGGCATAGCGCAAGATAGCCTTCCTGTTTTCACCCCACACTGCTCGCTCGCTTCAGTCCACATGCAGCCTCACCCCTTCTGCCACGTAGGGTGACGGCCTGATGGGTCCTAGGGATGAGGACGCGGCCGTCTCGGGCCAACACGCTTCTTCCTAGCTGGTCTGCTGCCACAGCCTCTGGACTTAATGCCTGCCCCGGGGCCGCACAGTTGTGGTTTCCCGTGGATGCCCTCCCCCCGCAGTGGTTTCCATGGATGGCTCCCCAGTGGACGGCTCCCCAGTGGTTTCCTGTGGACACCTCCACTGTGGTTTCCTGTGGACAGCCCTCCCCTCCATGGTTTCCCATGGACAGCCCCCCGGCCACGCTGCTGGAGGTCTCTGCCTGTCTCCAGTCACCCCTCTGTCCTCGTCATATACAGAGCACATCCGTGGTGCCTCTGGCCGCACTTGTCCTCAGGCGTGCATCCAGTGGAGTTCCTAGGGGTCAGGTGCTGCACTGGGAAGCAGGAGAGAGGGACAGTGTCTTGTGCTCCTGGAGTGCCTGGGCCCCATGCCAGCTCCCCTTTCTACACCTTGAGGCAGAAGCTCAGGGGCCAGTGCTCTGCCCACCACATTCCTGTACTACACACCTGGAGTTAATGGTCTGGAGGCTTCCTTGTCTGAGTGGCTCAAGAAAGGCCTTGGCGTCCCCTGCAGGGATGTAGGGTCCCCTGTCCCCTGAATCTGGCTTCTCAGAATGCCTGAGGAGGTGTGGCCACACCATGCACCCAGCCCCAACCCAGAAGCAGTTCTAGCAGGTGCGCACAAGCACCGGGCGGAGTCTCGCCAACCCATCCACCATTCTTCCACCACCCCTCCCATCACTGGGATGCCTCCTGCTTGTTGGGGCCATGCCCTGGGGCTCGGTGGGTCCATCAGGGCTTCTGAACGGACAAGCGGACCCCTCTCTGACCAGCCACCGCACACTCCCCCCGCCCCTGCCCAGGCGTCTCTGGGCTGAGTATCCAGCCTACACGCAGGTTTGCCCCACATCTGCTGAGTGGCGAATCCCTCCTGTGAGGGACAGGAGCAGGGAGGCAGGCGCTAGGCGGTATGGGGCCCGCGTGCATGGCTCTTTCTTGGAGCCCCAGATGTGTCATTCCTGTCCCCAGATGACCCGACTCCCTGCAGACCCACCTCTATCTAATGTGGGTCTCGTGTCACCCTGAGGGCTGCTTCCTAAAGTGTCCTTGACCCGGGAGCCAAAAGCTCTAGCCTGAGGGTGGTATATTCTGGGGCAGGAGTCCCTGAAGGTGCCGCTGGACATGAGAATGGACTGTAGTCACTACACACCGCTGCCCGCCGCGTATGCGGTGACGCTGCTCCCCCTGGGTGCTGTGGATGCTTGGAGTCCTGACGTCTGAAGCCACCAACCAGGCTGCGACTGTCCAGAGTGCGACTGTGAACAGGGCTGCCATGGCCAGCCACGTGGTGGCACGCACCCGGGCACTCTCTCACCCACTCCACACTTCGTTCTGCTTCAGTTTTTCTTTCTTTTTGTAAGACCCCAAACAGCTAAAGCAGGTTCCTCTTTGTTTTTGACAAGTGACTTGAGCCTCAGTTTCCTTATCTGTAAGTGAATGACGTGCTGGAGCTTGTGAAGCCCGGGCCCCACTGAAAGTTGCTCACGGTTGCTTGGCGCCAGGTCAGGCTTTGTCAGTATGGAGGTGTCACCCTGCGTGGGCGGCCGAGTGAGCGGCGAGCTTCCCGAGAAGAGGTGGCAGGAGTTGGGGGTCCAGAGGACTTCACGTGTGTCCAGGCTCTTCCAGCCTGCAGGTGCAGACCAGACTCCCCATACTCGGAACCGAGGGATGCCTTGGAATTTGCTCCCAATGGTTTGCCCAGGGGCCAGTGGCATTGACATTCCCCATGAGCTGCCAAGAGGCAGGCCCTGGGGTAGGCTGTGAGTGCCCTCAGGTGGGGAGGCTCAAAGCTTAGGAAGAAGGCCTTGGGCTTGCCACCTGGGGGGGTGACAGACCCTGCCTGGGCTCCTGGGCCCCGGGCGAGGCAGGGCATGTGCGGGCCATGGGGACTGTCACTCAGCCCTGGGTCTTTCTCTGACAGCTGCCTCTGCCCACCTAGGACTAATTGGACCTCTGTGCTCTGCACTTGCAGCCCAAGGGAGCCGACCGGAAACAGAAGACCGACCGGGAAAAGATGGAGAAGAGGACTGCCCAGGAGAAGGAGAAGTACCAGCCGTCCTACGAGAGCACCATTCTCACCGAGGTAAGCCGGCCCAGGGCCCAGGCCTCCTGCCAGCAGCGGGACGAAACCACCCACCTGGAGGGAATGCTTCCTTCGAAAGTGCCCGTTAAACTGTGGCAGGTCCCCGGGTCCGGAGCTGTGTTCATGCGATGAAAAAGAGCTTCCAGCTCTGTGCTGCATCTGTACTTTTCAGAATCAGGTTATTATTAGTTTTTTAATAGGTAAAGGCCCTAACTCCAGAAGGTACAAGGGAGCATACGTACCTTGGAAAAGACCTCTCCCTGAGGGGCCCTGACCTCGAGCTTCCGCCCGGGGCAGCTGGTGTCTCTGGGCCCACCTGCTTCTGGCCCGAGTCTGTCTGTGAAGGAACCAACTCACACACGTGTGCTCCCCGCCTGCTTGTTTTACATAACAGCGCACACAAGACATTGTGCTGTGACTTTATAGCCTGCGGGGGTCTGTTCCCCTTGTGTTCCCAGAGAGCCTTCTAGTTCTTCATCCAGCAGCGTGGCCTCTGTTGTGCGGCTGGATGGCCGACAGGAGGATGCGGGCTCTTCCTGGGCTCTGGCTGCTGCAGCCCGGGAGCGCCAAGGGCCTGTGCTTGTGCTAGAAGGGCCCGCGGGCTTCCTTTGTCAGAGAGGGCTCGCCGCTCAGTGGTTTGGACGGATGCTGGAATGGCTTTCCCCTTAACCTTGACACGGACAGCAACCTGCTCCAGCCCTCGTTCCGTCCAGGGTGCGCCTGAGGTCCTTGCCGTCACGGGCTCTCCTTCCTGCTGTCCCGGGTCGCCGCTGGGGCCCCCCTTCCTGGGCTCTGTTGTTTGTTTAAACAACCGTTCCCCATCGTGTTCTGGGATCAGAGCAGCTAGTGCCCCTGTGTTCGCTGAATAGTTGGAAAGGCCCTCCCTCCACAGACGCGTGAGGCCGGGTGCCGGCCCTTGCCGGGTTAAGGCCATGTTAAGGGGGAGGCCCGGGCACTGAGCATCTAAGAGAACAGTGGCTGGTCCTGGTCCTGGCTGACGAGCTCTTTGTGTGTGTGAGCGTGTGTAATAAGCCATAGGCAGAAGGGTGTTTGCAACAGAATATTCCAGAAGCTAATCTTGCGGCCCAGACAGCTAGTTCTGGTGTTCACGTAAGTCAGGATAGCAGTGGGCAGCGAACCCTGGTGCAGGGGGAGCCAAGCAGTGCCAGGCCCGCATTTATGAATTAGGCCCCAGGCCTTAGTCCCCTCTGTGGGTGATGCCATCGGGCGGTGACCTCCATGCCCCCACTGCCCTTCCTCTCAGAACTACCTTCCCTTCCTGGCTGAGCCTCAGCCTTCTGTCCCTTGGCTGTCTTCTGACATCCCCCGTGGAGGAGAGGTCCGGGGGTGCTTTAGGACCCCCCTACCCTATCCCCAGCCCTTGTCGGAGTGTGGTGTGGTTGATCAGAACACCCTCCTGGCCCATGACCTTGTGAGGTGACAGTGTGGCTTTCCTCCTTGGCTCCCTGATTTAGCACCAAGAGATTCCAGCCCACACTCACCACAGTTAAATATTGACCCACCCGTGGTCCAGTGGCCGATAGCAGATCTTCAGGAGCATGCCAAGTCAGCATCCTCACCGGGAAGGGAAGAAACGGACCCTGGGTCCACCCGCACGGCTTTGCTGTCTCCGGGCGGGCCTCATGTAGGCTCGTTCCTTGCTTCTGCCCAGGGGGTTCTCGGAGGTGAAGGACCGCGTCTCCCTTGCTCCCAGCAGGACTCCTGGGCCCCCCTAAGCACGCACAGAATGATGGCTCAGAGGGGCCGCCCCTGGGGCTGGAGCGGGTGCCTTCTGCTCTCCGAGGCCTGTCGGCTGACTCTGGCGTCAAACGGTGCAGGTTTTAGTACCGAGCTTTACTGATGCCTTTTGTGTTCGGAAGTCACGTGTATCCAGGCTGCCTGGACCCCTGTGTCTGGGCAGCTGGCTCCCTTCTTGTGGACCTGGGGGGCTGCTGAGGTTTCTCTGCCTCACCGGCGGGAGTGCAGGGAGGCTCAGAGAGGCACACGCCGCGCTTAGCTGGCTCCAGGAGTGACTGAGCATTCCGGCTCTTGTCTGCCATGCTTGATTCCTTCCGTGCGGCTCGCGAGGGCCCCGGGAGGAGGCGGCCTGCCGTTAGGACTCTGTGATGCTACACATGGCCTCGACGGCGGCTGCGGCCCGAGATGCCCCTGAGCTCCGCGGCCCCGAGTCACCACTGCCCTGTGCTCTTTCCACAGTGCTCCCCGTGGCCCGAGATGGCCTACCAGGTGAACAGCGCCCCGTCCCCCAGCTACAATGGTTCTCCAAACAGTTTTGGCCTCGGCGAAGGGTACGTCTGCCGTGTTTTCCCTTTAGAGTCCGCGGGGTGGTCGTGGGGGCGGGCTGCCTTCTGCGTCATCTTAGTACCTTGGCCTTGACTTGTGTTTCGGGTGGTGGTTGAAACGTTCCCACAGCTTTCTGTGCATGGACACGGGCCTGTCCACACCGTGTGCTGGAGCAGCGCACAGCCCTCCCCCAGTATGAGCAGGCAGCTCTGCAGGGCAGAATGGCCCCTAGACAGACGGTGGTCCCGGTGGCTGCGGTGGCTGCGGGGCCTTCTTGATTCTTTCTGTGACCCTCATGCACATTCTTTGGGTGGCACCGGTCAGCTCAGGATGTTGCCTGCCCAGGTTTCAGGGCTTGTGACCCAGAAGCGGCCGCGTTACTGGTCCCCCAGCTCGGCAAGTGCACGGGCCACACTGACTGCAAGGTGACGGTCGTGCAGGGGCTGGCGGGCGTCAGTGCGACCTTTGCCAGGCTCTGTGTGGCACAGGAAGGGCCCACAGCACCCCTGTGATGGCTGCACACAGCCCGGTCCTGTTCCTGGGGGCAGCGGGGAGCAGGAGGACACCAGGCAGGGTCAGCGGGTGGGCGCGGGGCCTGGAGGCTCCTCAGAGCTGGTGCTTGGCACATAGGAGTGCCCTTGAACTTGATTTCACACGGTCTGTGGCCACAGAAAAGACGTCATGTTCAGATTCAGGTGGACCAAGTGTTAAATCCCACCTTTTGGGGGTCAGCTCCTCACCTCCCTCAGCCTTGCTTTCCCTGCTAGCAAGGGAGTCAGGATTCCATGCAGGGTCGGGGGCATGTGTGAGGTGCCAGGGCCTCAAAGACAGTGATGGAGTGCAGCTGTGACTTCGACTGGTCTGAGGGTCATCCCTGAAAGGGCCTTTTCTTTCTTGTTATTGTAGCAAGGTACACACAACATGAAACTTACCATTTTATCACTTAAAAATTTTTTTTTAATGTTTATTTTTGAGAGAGAGAGAGAGAGAGACCGTGCGAATGGGGGAGGGGAAGAGAGAGAGGGAGATAGAACCTAAGCAGGCTCCAGGCTCTGAGCTATCAGCACAGAGCCCGATGCGGGGCTCGACCTTGAGAACCGCAAGATCATGTCCTGAGCTGATGTTGGATGCTTAACCCATTGAGCCACCCAGGCACCCCTAGGAGGCTCATTTTAAAATGTATATCTCTCGGGGTGCATGAGGGTCTCAGTCTCTTAAGGATCCGACTCTTGGTTTCAGCTCAGGTCATGATCTCATGGGTTGTGAGATTGAGTCCTACGTTTGGCCCTGCGCTGACTGTGGAGCCTGCTTGGGATTCTCTCTCTCCCTCTCTCTCTCTGTCCCTTTCTCTCTCTAACCCCTCCCCTGCTCATGCTCTCTCTCAAAATAAATAAACTTTAAAAAAAAGTGTATTTTTCTCTCAACTTAAAAATCCAGATATATGGGTCGATGCCTTCTCCATGGTGAGCCCTCGAGGGGGATTGGTGTGCCTCCGACCGTGAGGCTGTTTTCCCTGTGGATGGACGCCACAGGTTGGCTGTCATTCACGGCAGGACGCCTCCCCAGGGAGCCCCCAGCCCTCTTCTGCCTCCTTGGGCTGCTGCCGTACAGGCACCAAGAGGCCGTACAGGCACCAAGAGGCCGTGCAGAGTGGTGTCTGGCGCTCCTTGGGCGGCTGCCCCTCCTGGGGCCGAGGCTGGGGTGGAGACGGCGTGGGAGGGAATCAGATGCAGATGGGCTCCGAGCTGGGGGTGGTGGGGTTCTCGCTGGCCGGGCCGGGTTGCCATCCAGAACGTTGCGCCAGCCCTGAGTGGTTAGTCAGGGATGTTGAGGGATGCACAGGCGGCTCCTGCCTACATTTCTCCGACCTGGGAGGTTCTGGAGGCCCTGCGGTACTTCCAGCAAGCGCTGCACCGAGGGGAGGTGGGAGCCCCTGTCAGGAGCCGGGGGGACCTTCCCGTGTCCCCGAAGTCATCTGTACGCCCCGTCACCTGCTCTCTTCCTTTGCAGGAACAGCTCTCCGACCCACCCAGTGGAGCCCCTGCCCTTAGGCAGTGACGTAAGTGTGTGCAGCCGGGCTGTCTGGCGGCGTGTCCCTGGGTAGGCCCTGCGCGGTCATTGTCGGCCCTCCTCTCTGCCCGCAGCACCTGGCCCCGTCGGCCTCCATCCAGGACGCCCAGCAGTGGCTGCGCCGCAACAGGTTCTCCCAGTTCTGCCGGCTCTTCGCCAGCTTCTCTGGTGAGCATCTCCGTGTTTTGTTATTTTCTTCACGTTTGTGTGTCTTTGAGAGACAGGGCGGGAGCAGGGGATGGTCAGAGAGAGAGGGAGACACAGGATCGGAAGCAGTATCCAGGCCCTGAGCTGTCGCCACAGAGCCCAACGCGGGGCTCCAACCCACAGACGGCGAGATCATGACCTGAGCCGAAGTGGGACACCTTACTGATGGAGCCACCCAGGCGCCCCTGTGTTTTTAAGACCCACATGGATCCTAGACCCATTTACCAAAGCCAGTTACCTTTCAGGACTCTGCCGCTGTGCCTGAAGGACTGTGGTTTTGTCCCGGGGACCCAGCATTGTGTTGGTCACTCACATTTGCCGACCCTGAGCCACCTGATAAGACAGGACGTTATGCCCTTGGGAATTTCCAGTCAGTGTGGCTTTCAGGGTGCACCATCTGTGTCCCCTGGGCGGGGCTCCGGTCTACCTGGGAAGGGCCCCCGTGGCCAGCCCGCTGCATGCTCAGCAAGCCTTCCCGGTAGTGCTGCTCCTCTGTCACACCGTCTCCAGAGCCGTGACCTGTGAGACGGTGGCTAAACCGCAGGGGAGTAGGTTGTTGAAGCCCTCGCGGACGGGGCTGTTGGAGGTCCAGCAACAGGGCTGTGGGGGCTAAGAGTAGACTGAACTGCGGACCCTGCTGCCAGGTGGAGTCAGTCCAGAGAGCTGGGGGTAGGGGTGGGGCGTTTGGGCCACAGCTAGAGGCGTGGCCCCCAAGCGGCATCTGTGGCCCTGGAAGGAACACTGCATGTGGTCGTCTTTCGGCCCAGCTTCCGTAAGAGCCCCCTTTGTGCTGGGTGGTGGGTACGAGGATGGTCGGACAGGGAGCCTGCCCTCGGGCCCTTGCAGCATCGAGCCAGCGCAGCCGTGTGAGCCGCGTGTCTCCGTGCAGTGTGGCCCTTCTGTGATGGGCAGCTCTGAGGGGGTTGTGGCCCCGGGTGGGGCAGGGGCAGGAGGGAGGGAGCCGAGTGGGAATGGGGACAGTGAAATTTCTAAGTGGGGCAAAAGTACAGAGGCCACAACGTAGGGAGGGGGTACCTGACTGGTGTGGCCACAGAGCAGAGCACCTGTGTGATTGGGGCCGAGGGGCGGAAGGAGGTGGGGTCGGCGGGGTACTGAGGGGCCCAATAGCACAGTGGAGGGGTTTGGGCTGTTCTCTGTGTCGGGTGAGCTGCTGCGCCTACGGAAACTGTACCTTCACTGGCAGGAAAAAGGGAGCGGATATTGTCACTCCCTGCCAGGTGGCTGTGGCCGGTTTTCAGCAGAAGGCTCGCAGCATACTTGTGCCTCGGACAGTCTACCTAGGCACAAGGCTGTAGGGGCTCCGTGGGCTTTGAGGAGGAGACTCTATCTTCAGACAATGATGTCCATAGACCTTATTCATAATGGCTTCCAAGCGGGAGCACGCGCAGCGCCTGTCAGCGGAGCGGACACGTGGATGTGGTGTATTCACACAACCAAGAATGTCTAGTAAGCGGCGTGAGTGATGGATAACCACAGACAGCACAAATGAGCCCTTAAATAGAACTTGGAGGGAAAGGGCAGGCCTGGGAGAGCACATCCCATTCAGTTCCACTTCCGTAAGCTTCAGGGAAGCACGCAAAACTCACGCATGTGAGAAATCAGGACAGCGGTCGCCCAGAGGTGGGGGCAGCAGCAGGCTGGCACGTGGGGCCTGTGGGGGGTGGGGATGTTCTGTCTCTCGCTCCGTGTGCCCGGAGCGTGGATGCCTTCAGAAGGGCCGCATCCGGTGAGCTGTGCCCTTTTGTATTCAGGCAAGCGCACTTTCATTGGTGTCCCGTGCCAGGGTACGCATACTTCCGTTATGTGCCCGAGTACGGTGCAGAAGGAGCGGCAGGCGGGCACTGGCTGTGAGGACCTGTCTGCTCTCGTTAACGCCTGGCTGTCTACTGAGTTTTGAGAGTACCACTCCTCTCCTGTGCTGTGATTTTCTGATGCTTAGCTTTTTGCTGTTTCTCTCTCCCGGAGGAGGCTGACTCTTCCCTGCGCCCCTGCCCACGGTGCCCCGGTGCACCCACAGGTGCCTGGGCGGGGTTCTGTGTGTCCCACTGACGAGCGGCCCCGTTTGCCTGCCCAGGTGCTGACTTGCTGAAGATGTCTCGTGATGATTTGGTCCAGATCTGCGGCCCCGCAGATGGGATCCGGCTCTTCAATGCCATCAAAGGCCGGTGCGTGTCCCTTTCAAGCTGCAGGTGCGGTGTGGCCACTTGCATGCCACCATGTGCTCTGGCTGGTGGGGACAGGGCTCCTCTGGGGACAGGTGCCAGAGGAGAGGGGATCAGGGCCATAGTGGGTGGGGGCTGAGCTCACCTTGCCCAGAGGCCCCTCCCCCTTCTCTCCTTTTTTTGTTTTGTTTTGTTTCTGTTTTTTTGCTTTTATTCTTTTGTTTTTTCCCCCAGGAGCCTTGGCTCTGGATCTCAGCCCCTCAGCCTCTCCCTGGGTGCACAGCCCCTTGCATGTCCTGGGCTTCCAGCCTGGCCTCCCAGAGGGAGATGTGGACTGGCTACTTGGCCTCATGCCACCGTTCTCAGCTCTGGGCGGACTGGAGAGCGGGGCCGGGGTGGAGGGAGCTACGTGCCGGGGTGGACATGGTCGGGGGTGTGCTGTTCACAGCAGCCCCAGCCCTGGTCTCTGCCTAATGCAACCGAGCGAGTGACTTTTAAATTTCATTTAACTTTCACGCATGAGCAGCACAGTTTCCGAGTGAGGGAGAGAGCCTGGGTGTGAACCTCAGACTCGAGCTGCCTCTGATGAGTTTTTTACAATGAGGTTTAAGCCTTGATTCCTGTGAGCCTCAGTTTCCTCCTCTGTGAAGTGAGGTTCCAGCTCTGAGGAAGGAAGGAGGGAGGCGCGTGAAGTTCTGAAAATGATTCCCAGTGCAGAGTAAGCCATAGAAAGTGTTTGCTCTCGTCATCACCCTGAAAAATGCCCTGTGTCTTGCGGCTTGTGTCCCGGGCAAGTGCCTCATGGGATGCCATAGGACTTCCTGCCTCCTGCAAGTCTGCGTGCAGCCGTTGAGGCCCAGAAGTCCATCTGCGTCCCTGCAGCCTCCTTTCTTCTCCCCAGATCCTTCCCTCTGCTAGTTCCGCCCTGTATGCCGGAACATTCTGGAACAACCGAGCTCGGTCCTCCTCCCTGTCCCCTATCCCTGCTATTTATTTCCTCTGCTTCTGCCAGGAATGTGAGGCCAAAGATGACGATATACGTCTGCCAGGAGCTGGAGCAGAACCGAGCACCTTTGCAGCAGAAGCGGGATGGGGGTGGGGACAGCAGTCTGTGCGGTGAGTTGTGGGGACCCCTCCCCAGCCCAGGGCCGCTTAAAGGGGTCGGCAAAGTAACAGGAAGTTGCAGCAGTGGTGTGAGCCCTCTTGCTGAGAACGTTTCCACTGACCCATCTCCCTCCGGCTTTGTGCGGGATGAGTTTTTGTTACACTTCCTCCCGCAGTCGAAATGTGTAGGGTGGAAGTCATCCCCCCAGGACATGGGTTCCGGCTCATTTCCTACCTGGGGAACAGGTTCAGAGAGAGGAGTGTGACCCCCAGAGCTGCTTAGCCTCTCGTGGTATCGGGCGTCAGGCCTCCTGGCTCCCAGGCTGGTAACAGGTGACACTCAGTGGCTGTATTCCTGCAGCGCATCCTCCTGTGGTTTCCCCCAGCTGGCTGAGCCCTTCCCGTGTGGTTTGGTGGCTGCAGCAGGGCTGAGGAGCACCTCGGGGGCACGCGACTCTTTCTGGTTGGCCGTCTGGTGAGAGGACACTGCTGAGGTCAGCTGAGCCTATATTACTGGTGCTGGCCCTGTGGGCTTGGGCAGCCTCCCAGGGCCTGGGCCTCAGCTTCCGCTTGTATGAGATGGAGACGGCGACACTACCCCCAAAGGTGTGCAGACTCAGCAGGACGATGTGTGTGAAGGGAAGCCCTTGCTTCTGATCAGCTGCGAGCGCTCAGGGTCTGACGGGCCATGGAGTCTGTGCTCCGTGCCTCTGCAGGTCCCTTCGGATCTCTGCGTCACTGTCCCAAGGGCTTTCCATGCGCTCACCACTTTGCTTCTCCTAGTCGGAACTGTTGGGAACCGTGTTTCGCTGTGGGGGACACTGAGGCGCACAGAGCGTCACCCCTAGACGACAGTATTGTAGAGGTGAGCCAGGACGCAAGCAGCCCGACCCTGGGAGCTGGTGCCTGTTCGTTTCTGGAGAATGTCTGCAGCTGCAAAGGCAGCTGTCAGCCTGCGAAGGACGGGTTTGAGCCGCACGTGCTCTGAGGCTTGGAGACACATGGAGCTTGTTCGAGGGGTTGCTCCTCGCGTGGCTGGGTTGGGATCGGAACCTGGGATTGCCTACGCTAGAGCCTCGTGTTTCCCTGAGCTGCCCCTCCAGACCCCGGATGAGAGGCGGCTTGGGAGGCGTTCGGAGGAGTGTCCTGTTGGCTGCTCCATGCACTCTGGGGGCGCTACACTCAGCGGGGGGCAGGCAGGGCCAGCGGTGGAAGGTCACAGCAGATTTGTCAGCTGAGCGAACTCAGACAAAATGGAGCCTGGAAACATAGAAAAGAAACACAGGTGCATTAGGACCGTGTTACAAAGCGGATGCCCGGAAAGGAGGCCTGGCACCCTGACCCCGTGTTGGCACCGGAAGGGGCAGCATGCGGTGGCCGCGCCCTCCGCACAGCGCCGGACAGCAGGTTCAGCCCTCCGACACCCTGGGAGAGCGAATGTGTCGCACGGCTGGGACCCGTGGGCCCTGGCACCCTTCAGGGGGAGCAATGTGTGTGTGCGCATGTGCACGCACGCTTTTGAAGTAACGGGGCCTCTGATTAGCCTTTTTGGAACCAAGGGTTCCTCAGTGGATGTGGGAGCTTGAGAACCTCTAGTCTAATCTGGTTGTGCTGTGCCTTCGAGGCACTGGAGCCCCCTCTCCTGCCCCCGAGGAGGGTAGTGCACTGCAGGGCACCCACAGTTAGCTCCTACCTGGCAGGTTTGGGTTTCGAATAAGGAAGCATTTCCTTCCGGCCTCGGGGTCACTGCCATCTTCCAGTGGGCTGGTGATGTTCCCAGTGCCCTGCTTCCCTTTGTGGGCACAGTCAGTGCTGGGGTAGAGTCATTCTTATGCTGCAGGGAAGGGCAAGGACTAGATTCGTGCTGGCAAGTGGCAGTTGCCCTGAAATGCCACTGTCCTCTCGCCCAAAGCCATCCCGTGACCCCTTTGTACAACAGAAAGGAAAGGAAAGGGGACGCAGGGGTTCTCCTCTCTCCTACAAGGGTGCACGTGTGGCGGTTTGTCAGAAGCACTGGAGGCTTGTTAAAGTACTGGGTTCGGCCAGCCGTTCCCCACCAGCCTCCACCCCATCAGTCCCTGGGTGGGGGGTGGGTACAGGAGACCTACACCTTAAACAAGGCCTCCTAAGGAGAGGCTGGCCCGGGAATGAGGATGCATGGCTGCGTTTCCCTGTCACTGGGCCGTGCCGGGGCTTTGCGCCGTTCCCACCCGGGAAGGGGGGCAGTTGGTCCAGGCGTGAGTGGCTGGCGGGGCCAGGCACAGGGTAGGCCGGCTCCTTGGGAAGCAGGTGTGTGGTCTCTAGAACGCGCTGTCTCTCACCCTGCAGTGTACCATGCGATCTTCCTGGAGGAGCTGACCACCTTGGAGCTGGTGGAGAAGATTGCCAACCTGTACAGCATCTCCCCCCAGCACATCCACCGCGTGTACAGGCAGGGCCCCACGGGCATCCACGTGGTGGTGAGCAATGAGGTGAGCGCCGCCCCCGCCCGTGCCCTGGGGCTTTGGGCTGCAGGGAGGGCCCCCTGGGGCTTGGGGGTGACTTCCATCCAGGGATGGCAGCTGACTTTCATCTGCGGGCCGCATGCCCTTAACTGTGTCTGGGGGGGGGGGAGGTGTTGGAGGCTCTGAGTAGCTACCCTGTACCAGCTCCATACCCCATTCCCGGCCAGGCCCAGACCGTACCCCTGCCTCCAGGACGCCTACAGTCAGGACTGGAGGAAGTCAGGAGGGGGTGGTCGGTGGTCTTGGGGTGGATGATGGAGAGGATGCAGGCTGCCCTCGAACAGAGCGCCCCTCTGCCGAACGGGGAAGGTGCTGCAGCCTTCCCGGCTTTGCCCAAGGCTGCGCAGACCTGTACGCGGCCCAAGCAGCTGCTGGCAGAGGGCACCTGCTGACCTGAGCCTCCTCACGCCTGAAGACGGGGTTAGTGATTAAACTGCTTCTCAGGGATGGTCAGGCATTCCTGCACACCATAGGACAGAGGCTTTCAGGCCTCTTCTTTCCTGGCCCCTCCTCTTGATAATGATGGTGAGGAGTGCCAGTATTTATCTACCACTTACTGCTCTAAATGCCCGTGAAGTGGGTAAAATGAGCCCATTTCACAGATAGGAAACTAGAGGCACAGAGGGGCTGAGTAGCTGCCCCAGGTCTCACAGCTGGTAAGGGGTGGAGCCAGGGGGGTGGGGAGCCCTGGTGTCTGGCTGCAGAGCCCACACTTGTGGCCAGCAGGCTACTCTGCTTCCCCTGAAATGAGGCCTTTAGCAACACAGCTGGGCTGATGGGAGCAGCGGGCACCTTGAGCCCCCAGCAGACCCTGAGCCCTCTGTGAGAACTCCGAGAGCATCTGGAGAGGACTGGAGGGGATATGGGACCCGAATGGTGGCTGGGAAAGCAGAGAGCAGATGTGGGCTTTGGATTTGGATGCGCGTCCCCACCTGGATCTTGCTCCCAGGAATGGAGTGACCCGGGGCAAATTTACTTAACCTCTGAGCCTCAGTCTACACATCTGTGAAAGGGGATAATTATGCCTATCAAAAAGAGGTTGTAGTAAGAATAAAATGAGAAAATAGTATCAGGCAACGGCAGACACTGGACAAGGGAGGTGGTTGTAATGGATAGTGCTAGGCTCTTGTAACTTCTGGGAGCAAGTGATGGAGAGATCTTTACATCTGACAGCATATACAGTGTATGTGTTAATGGTTTGTGCACTTCATATATTGTCATTATGAGTAATAATCCTATTGCCATTTGTCACTACAATTGCCCAAGCCTCTTTTTTAAAAATTTTTTTAAATGTTTTATTTATTTCTGAGAGAGAGAGACAGTGTGAACAGGGGAGGGTCAGAGAGAGAGGGAGACAGAATCTGAAATAGGCTCCAGGCTCTGAGCTGTTAGCACAGAGCCTGACGCGGGGCTCAAACCCACAAAAGGTGAGATCATGACCTGAGCTGAAGTCAGGTGCTTAACCGACTGAGCCACCCAGGCGTCCCTGCCCGAGCCTCTTAAATGAGAGTCCTCTATCTCATAGGAGTTGGGTCCTGGAGGTTGGCAAGGTGGTGGCGATTTCCTTCCTTTTGAATTAAAAAGCAATTCACAGTTAGTGTAAGTCCAGAGCTAGAAACCAACTGAAGGCAAACGTGAAGGGTCCTTACCTTCCCCACTCCTTTCCTAGAAGAGCTTATATTAGCTTTAAAAATAAATTTTTTTTTTAGTCTTTATTTATTTTTGAGAGACAGAGCACAAGCAGGAGAGGAGCAGAGAGGAGACACAGAATCTGAAGCGGGCTCCAGGCTCTGAGCCATCTGCACAGAGCCTGATGCAGGGGCTCGAACCCACGAGCCCTGGGATCATGACCTGAGCCGAAGTTGGACGCTCAACCAGCTGAGCCACCCAGGCGCCCCTGTATTAGCTTTGAAGTGATTCTGCCAGACAGTGTTTTGTGTGAGCATCTGTGGTGTGCCTGAGCATTGTGTGGGTGCGGGTTTTTAAAACACACGACAAAGATGGACGCCTGGCGGGCTCAGTCAGTGGAGCATGCAGCTCTTGATCTCGGGGGTTGTGAGTTCAAACCCCATGTTAGGTGTAGAGATTACTTAAAAATCTTTATCACACACACACACACACACACACACACACACACACACACACACCCAAAGATCCAGCTGCACCCCCCCACATCACCCCTCTCCCCCCGATCCAGCTGTACATTTATCTGCAGCTTGCAGCCAGAATTCCCTCCATTTCATTACATTTAAATCTAAATGCAACTAGTTTTGTACCCCCATTTCACAGATAGAGAAAGTGAAGCCCAGAGTTCCTGACCCGAGCACTAACTTCAGAACAGCCAGGGAGGTTAAGACACCCTGAGCAAGGGGGCTGCTGTAGTGGCGTGGAGAACTTGTTTCTTTGCATTTCAGAATGAATTTCTTTGGGGAAGACAAAAGCCAAGAATGTGCGGAACCCTTGCGGTTTCACGGGTCCCTGCCGGCAGTTCCTTCCCCAGCTTGCCCTGTGCCCTCCAGGGTGGGCAGTTAAGCAAGTGAAGCAGAGAACAGAACCCAAAAAGCAACCTCAGCTAAGTAGGCGATTCTTATTCCCCTGAAGTCTCCTTGCCTCTTAACCCTGAATCAATTGGAAACCTTAGGTTCTTAATTGCCCAGAGTGCCAGAGGCAGCCTGCCCAGCCGCAGAGCAGCCCCTGAGGTGCAAGGGCACTTAATTAAACAAGGGAGTTACTGATTAAGCTCTTGTGGGCCCTGCCTAGGGCTTTGCATGCTCAAGTGGCTGGGCGGCAGAGAGGCCTAGAGGGCCGGGGCCAGTGGTATAGAATAAATGTACTTCACGCATCATTAGGCCCTGCAGGGAGGGGCAGGGGTCAACGGGTGGATGGAGTTGCAGGATTTGGGGGCCAGTAATGCAGAGGAGGCAATAAAATGTAGCTTGCATTTTTTTAATTTGGAAAGGGGTTTTGCCATCTTGTGTGTGTGTGTGTGTGTGTGTGTGTGTGTGTGTGGTGGGTATGTTAAGTATATTTTTAATATTCTTTCCGTTGATACTGTGAAATATGGCAGATGTGTGCAAGGAGTACGTAAAACGAATTTATACAGAGTAGGGAGAAAGTGTCCAGGACCTGCGAAGCCCCTTTGTGGGCTCATTTCCTGTTCCAATCCATCCCTCCATCCTGCTGGTCTGCATTTTGTACTCATTGCTCCTTTGTTCGTCCTCAATATGTTATTTAATTTTGTCTATTTTAAAGCTTCACGTAGGTTGAACAATGGTATCTTTTTCTGTGACTTTCTTTCATTTCCCTTTATATATTTTTTTAATTAAAAATTTTTTTTTAACATTTATTTATTTATTGTTGAGAGACAGAGTTTAAGTGAGGAGGAGCAGAGAGAGAGGGAGACACAGAATCCGAAGCAGACTCAGGCTCTGAGCTGTCAGCACAGAGCCCAACGCAGGGTTCGAACTCATGAATCGTGAAATTACGACCTGAGCCATAGTCCGCTGCTCAACAGACCGAGCCACCCAGGCGCCCCTCCCTTATATTTTTGAGATTCGTGCAGGTTGAGATGCTGCTGGAAGCCACTGGCGCACCAGATGGCGTGGCCTAATCAGGCCACGGTTTGTCCATGCTTCCGCTCACTGATGCAGGCACTGTCTCCAGTTCATTTTCTTCTAGGTTTTTATATAGGCAACCTCTACACCCAGCATGGGGCACGATCTCACGGCCCTGAGATCTAGAGTCCTGTGCTCCTCCGATGGAGCCGGACAGGCACCCCTCTGTCAACAGCGCTGCTCTAGACAGTCTCGGGTGTGCTTCAAGTGCACACGTGCAGGAGTTTATCCAGAACCCCGGCCCGTAGGAGGAAGGTGTTAGATCCTGGGGACGGTGTTAGGAAGCGGTCACATAGATGAGTACTCCACTCCTCCGGCACTGTGTGCCACTTTCCAATGTTCTGCACCCTGGCTCTGTTCTATTATTATGGAAATGGCCCCATTTTGCAGATAGGGCATGGAGGCCAGAAGGAAAAAGGTTGACTTGCCCAAGGTCACTGGGTAGTTAATCAATGGGAACTGCAGAGAGTTGGCTGCTCCATTCCTGCCCCTTTGTAGACATAGGGGGTGGCGCCGTGTTCATATGGTCCTCCCAGGGCGCTGGTACACGGAGGCTCCTAACCACCAAGTGTGTGTTTTTTTAAGCACTTTAATCTTTTGTTTGTTGCTGTTACACACATACACGCTCCTGTAATGTGGCCATTATAGAGATCAGAGAACCCAGGAAGCAGGAGAACGCAGAACGAAAGCAAACAGACATTTAGTTCTGTATTAAACGTGAACGTTTTGCCTCCCTGCCGGGCTTGTTTCTGTTCAGTCTTTGTTACTTAAAATGGTAATCATTTTGTACATTTATCTTGCCTCGTGTTCCCTTAGCAAGTGTTAAGTGGGACCGTTCTGCCTTCGTGCAAACACAGTGACCGTCATTTCCGCCAGCTGTGGTGGCTTGGCTCGGTGTCACTGAGGCTTTTCATTGTCGGAAGACACTGTTGAAGGGACACAGTCTCTCTTTTGCCTTTCAGATGGTGCAGAATTTCCAAGATGAGTCTTGTTTTATCCTCAGTACCTTGAAAGGTAAAGCCCCCTCACCCCTTGGAGTATGCCGGCTGTGCCCCCTGCCCGCCTCCCTGGGTAAATAGGGTGAGCGGGTCCCCGGAGGGAACGTTATCTGGGGACATCGTCTGAGAAGCGGGAACACAGCCTTCCTGTGAAGCCTTGCGCTGGAAGTGTGAGAACCATTGAGATCGGCCCCACAGTCCGTTCCATGAACGACCCCAGTGTCGCGTAGAAGATGCATTTGAGCTTTTGTAAAATGAGGGCCTGCAGTGGAGCGGGTGTGGAGTACAGCAGCTGAGCCGATAGGTCTGGTGGCTCAGGAGTCTGGGGCTGGGGTGGGACGTGAAGCTTCCACCTGAGGAAGGTGTCTGAGAAGGGACTTGTGTGGCAGGAGAAAGACCCTCCTTAGGCCCGGGGGCAGGTAAACCTACGGAGTATATCAGCATGAAAGCCCTGTGACCGGGTCATAGACTCTGGACTGTGACAGGGCCATCCCTGGCCCCCTGTTCTCTGGCTCTAGCTGGCAGCTGCCTGCAGGGAGCTGGGGGCCATACACCCCAAGAACCACACTGTGTTCAAAGCCTTCTCGGGCCTAGAGCCTTCAGTCCTCAGGCCTAGGGCTGCGGTCGTAAGGCTCATTGCCAGCAAGAAATCACGAAGGCAGAAGGCATGTGTTCAGACGCTTGTTTTTGTTAGCACGCTTTGCTCTACGCAGTCTTCTGTGTGGGACCAGTATCCACCGCGGGGCTCCTGCTGGTACACCAGTGTCATGCCCTCCCTCCTCCCCCGAGGTCATGGTGTCTTGCCCTTTCTTCTTGTAAAATGTCCAGTGTTTCTCTTTGCAGCTGAGAGCAACGATGGCTACCACATCATCCTGAAATGCGGCCTCTGAGCAGATGTAGAGTGTGTGAAGTAGGGCCTCCCCTCCCCCTCCCAGCCCCACGGACTCCCTTGGATGTAGAAACTGCACCACCGTCTGCCTGGCAAGCTGCGGCTCGGAGGGATGTGGCCTAGTAACCAGCAGAACCCCGCGGACGCAGTCTCTGGTGTACGGAGAGCCAACGGCTCCTCTCTCCCTTCCTCCCAGCCTCCAGCTTTGGAATGTTCCTTGTCCTTTTCTCCCAGCGCTGCGGTCCTAAAGAGGCATATGGCAAGGGGCACCTTCTCTGAAACCCCTCGCTCCCTTGTTGGGCGCCAGTTCGCTGCATATCTCGGGGCCTTCTGACCGTTCCCCCTGCCTCCAGGGAAGGCCATGCCCCCCCCTGACCTTCACCTTTTCTGGTGACCGGCCCCGTGACCGGGAGTGCTGACTGGGTGCGGGTGCTTTGCCACCGTTCTGCCTTCATGTTGGTTTCCCTTCTGCGCGACCCTGGTGGGCATCCGTCCTTCTGCTTCTTGGACGGATTGGCAAGAAGGGGATTTATTCTGTGCCTTCTGCGTCCTTCACCTTGACTGCCTTTCTAAGGACCTGCTTTTGCAGTGCCCGGCGAGGGTCTCTGCGTTGGTAATGCTGGTGGAGCACCAGCCCCGGAGACCTAGGTCTCTGCCCTTGGGAGGAAGAAGGAGAGGATAGAACCACTCTTTTCGGGTCCATTCTCATGAGTATGAAAGGGATGAGGACACAATATTTTTCTTGAGCTCCTTTTATGTGATTTTATACCCTAAGCAGTCATGGATAAGGAGGATTAGGAAATGAACGTTCGCCGGTATGATCAGTCGACCATGATCATGACAAGTCATGATAGCGGGCCCTCCTGGATGGACTTCACCATGTCCCATTTAGACCTCTGTTAACCACTGCCATACTTGCCAAGTTTCCTAGGGACTTCATCTGTCCTGTGCGGCCTCGACTGAAATGTTTATCTTTTTTCATGTGTGGAGGGGTTGCTTAGGCCATTTTGCCTGCATTGGAGTGGTTGGATCGGCTTTGTTAGTGGCTTAATTATGGAGACATTTGATTATCAGTAACCAGGAAACTCAGGAACTAGTCTTTGTCTGTTTCCCAGCGATCTGCACTCCTTCCTCACTTAGGTTTATCTTCCAAAGATTTGAGAAGCCTGTGATCAACAGCAGGATTTTACAACTTCTAGAGTGGAGCTTTAGGAAGATACACTGCTAGCATCAAAGATGAGCGGAACCCGGGAGACCTGGCCTTCACAGTTGGGGAAAATGACATGTAGAGGGGTAGAGCCATCTGCCTGATATCACATAGTGACAGGGCAGTGATGTGAATTTATAATATAAATCAAGACCCTTCTAAGGGTGAAGGGGACTCTCTAATACTTAGGTTGGGATGGCAGGGGTGGTGTTCCTCTGGAGGAAAACGGGCTCCGGATTCCTTTCCCATCTGCGGGGAGGGTGCGGGAGCAGGTGGCAGCTTTATCGAGATGTAATCCACATGCAATACGGTGCACCCAGTTAGAGCCTACAGCTCTATGGTTTAGTAAATTCAGAATCAGCCCATTCAATTTTAGGACATTTTCCTTACCCCCAAAAGGAACCCCGTTCCTTTTAGCAGTCACCCTCCCACTTACCCCCCAACTCCCCTATCCTGTGCGACCACGAATCTACTTTCCATAGAGATTTACCCGTTCCGGACATCTCACGGATGTGGGATTACAGTGGCCTTTTGTTTCTGGCTTTTTTTTTTTTTTTAAACTAGCATAATGTTTCCTAGGGTCATCCATGTTAAACATGTATTCACACATCCGTCCTTTCCATAACTGTAGAATTGCATTCTCTGGCTACATGTACCACATTCTGTTGATCCGATCGTTAGCTGATTAATACATGGGTTACTACTTTTTGGCCATTGTGAATCATGCTGCTATGAACACATTTGTACAGGTTTTTGCGTACAGAATATGTTTTCATTTCGTTTGGGTGCATCCCTACGTGTGGCATCTCTGGGTCCTTACAGAATAAACATAAAGTCTATGTTTAACTTTTTGAGAAACTTCCAAATTGTTTTCCAAAGCAGTGGCACCATTTTACCCTCCCGCCAGCAACAGTGTAGGAGGGCTCTGGTTTCTCCACATCCTCCCCCACACTTGCTATCATCTGTCTTTTTGCTGAGAATATTCCAGGGATGTGAAGTGGTATCTCACTATGGTTTTGATTTGCATTTCCCCAATGGCTAATGGTGTCAAGCATCTTTTTATGTGCTTATTGGCCATTTCTGTGTCTTCTTTGGAGCAGTATCTGTTTAGATCCTTTGGTCTTTTTATTCCTGAGTTGCATCAGTTCTTGGTCTATTCTAGATACAGGTCCTTTATCAACTCTGTGATGTGTAAAATTTTTCTCCCATGCTGGGGGTTGTCTTCGCCTTCTTCTGATGTCCTTCGCAGCACCAAGGTTTTTCATTTCCATGATGTGCAAGATCCCTGCTTACCCTTGCTTGTGCTTCTCGTGTCATATCTGAAAAACCATGGTGTGATCCAAGGTCGAGAAGATTTGTGCCTATGTTTCTTTCTAAGAATTATCATAGTTTGGGCTCTGTAGTGGCCCTTGATTCATTCGAATTTAATTTTTGTACGTGACACGAGGTAGAGGTCCAGCATCGCTCTTTTGCCTGTGGATACCCAGTTGATCAGCACGAGTTGTTGACCTCGCCCCCCTCCCCTCCCCTTCACGCCCATCCCCCTCTCCCCTCCCCAGCCCATGTTTGACCCCAGCATTTTTTAACTGGCTTCCTGTTCTTCTCTTACTGTCTCCCCCTTAACCTTCTCAACGGTACTGGGTCATATCGTGCCCTGATAGCCGGCAGCCTTACTTGGTGCATGTTCTAACTGCACACATTAGTCCTAGAGGAAAGTCAGGACCAGTCACTTCCTTTTTTGAGGACAGGGAGCCACAGGAAGGGGAATAATTTGCCCAAGGTCACACAGAATCAGTACTAGACCTTTGGTCTTCTGACTTCCAGAATTTCAAGGTATCTGCCAGTCACTAGACCTAAGTGATGCCACTCCCCTGGGCCATTTGATGACAGCCTCAAATTTAATTATTTAATTGTGTGATAGGCTCATATTTTTATTTCTTTTAATGAGGGTCTAATAAAGATCTATTACCCTAAGTTCGCTGTTAGTGGAGTCTTCCATTTTCAGGAACCCCCACTGCTGTCTGTTTTTTGTTTGTTTTTACCTTTTTTTTTTTTTAAGGATTTTATTTTTAAGTAATCTCTACACCTAACACGGGGCTCGAACTCATGACCCTGAGACCAAGAGTCCCACGCTCCGCCACCTGAGCCAGCCAGGAGCCCCTTTCACCTTCTTCCAGTGGTTCTGGTAGGCTCTTGTAGCTTACAAAGAGATAGGGAACAAATACACTTCTTAACTTGGCACTAAAATGTCCCGGCTGCTTGGTTTGGGCGGCTTGTCCTTCCCTGGAGCTCAGATGAGCTGGCTGTCCAGTTTATTTTTTTCATGTCAAAGCACAAAGATTCCTGTCCACTCTTTTTCCTAAGAGCTCTGAGGCAGGGACCTGGGTCTGGGGGGGGACAGCCCCTCCCAGAACTGGGCCCTCCCTCCCTCTCTTCCCCATGATTCTAGGCTGTGGCTTCTTTATGGCAGCTGCACTTTTTAAAGATGCTCAAAGGAGGGGGAAGGGAGAGGGAGAGGGTCTTGAAGAGTGCTCAGGCCACCATCTTGAACCAGAAGCCTCAAACTGAAGTCCTTATGCTCAGGCCATTGCATTTCTTTCTGTTTGCAAGGTTGTGATAGACCCTTTCCTGTTTACCAGGTTTTACCTTTAGGTGAGGACACAGAGAGAACGTAGGAGTTGCAGGGGGAGGGCTGGATGGGAAGAGCAGGATACAGGAGGGAGCCTGAAGCCTGGGGCTTAGGTAAGTCCTAAGCAATGGTCGGGGGCTGCCCTGCGGACCTCCCACCCAGGGAGCTTCGGGCCCCTTGGGAAGAGCTGTGAGGCTCCAGGGGGTTCACGGGGAGCACACTGGGGCTGGCTGAGCGGGTGTCCCAAGTTTCCAAGTCCAGTGTGGCTTCAGGCCTGGCTTGAGTAATCCAGGCTCTGAAAATCATTAATGAGCTGATGAGGAAAATGGAAAACCTTTGCTGTTGCTGGCGGAGCTGAGAGAGCAAGTCCGGAGGCTTCCAGAAGGTGAAGAGTAGAGGATGAGGGACGGGGGTGTCAGTGTCTGATGCGACTGTGCCCAAGGTGCAGAAGGCAGTGGTAAGAGCGGGTGGGGGGGGGGGGAGAGCCAGGGCCCCTAGACCCCCACTTGGCCGGAACGTCTGCCTGCCTGCCTGGAGTCCTGGCCGGCTCCATCACGAGGTGAAAGGGAGAGGCAGCGGGGCATGTGTCCTGGTTGCACAGTGCGCCACCAGCGCTCGTACTTAGGCAGCCCTGCGGGGCAGCAAGAGGTGCAGTGCCTGGGGCGTGTCTGTAAGAAGTGACCAGTCCCTCAGCACCCCTAGAGTGGCTGCCCCCAGGTGATCCCCAGCAGCCTGAGCTCCAACCCCATGCTGGCCCGCTCGGCGTCTACACTGCAGGTGCATGTTTGTGTGCGCGCTCACGGACCCCTTTCCTTGCTCCCGTATCTGGTGTGAGGGTGCCCAGGAAGTTCTCGGCTCAGCCAGATGTAGGGATGAATACTCCTGTTTTGAGGTCCTGTCCAACCTCCCGGTTCGGGCTCTGCTGATGACACTGGTCAGGTTCAAGTCGTCCTACTCGGGGGACAGTCTCGCCTTCAGTACACCTCTTCTGGGGAGGGACGCAGTGCTGGCAGCCGGCCTCGAACAAGGACCCCAGAATAGGGCTCATGGAGCAGGTCTCCCACCAGCTGCCTCGGGGTTCCTTGCTGTGTGTGCAATGCTGTAGGTCGGGCCAGCCGGGAGGAATTGGTTGTCCTTCCTTCGCCCCGTGGGACAGGGCAGTGGGGTCTGGGGCCAGCAAGGTGCTGGTCAGGCCACCACAGGCCTTCCTGGCACCCCCCCCCCCCAGGACACCCCGGAGCTCCCTGAAGCCGCCTCCGAACTCTCCAGACCTCTCTGCGCAGGCTCCTCTTGGGCTGTCCTTCTGCCTCCTCCCTGGGGACAGCCAGTGGTCCTGAGTGGTGGCTCCCCAGCCACACCTTGACCCCTTTAGTGGCCTCGTAGGGGCAGCATCCCCAAGCAGGGGCTCTCAGGGAAGCAGGTTTGCTGCTCAGTACTAGGCAGCTGACATACCTCACCCTTTCCAGAAAAACTTTTCCAACCTTGAGGAGGTCAAGCTTTCTGTTACTTTCTGTCCCCACTGGGAATCCCGTTCAGTAAGAACTTGCAAACAGTAGTAATAGAGTATGTGTTTGTTTTGAGCTTTGGGGCAAAAGAAGTGTCAGTCTGAGTAGCACTGGAGTCCCCCTGCGTGCCCGTCCCTCTCTTCTGTGAAGGGCTCACCCCTGCCGCTGGCCCCCTCCTATCGACCTGGGGGCCTTCGGACCCCTGGGCAGGTGCTCTGGTGTCAGACAGCCATGCGCCAAGGGTCCTGTGCTGGTGTTAACAGGCCGGCAGGCTGTGGAGGGCGGTGGCCCCCTGACCCAGGTCCTTGGAACTTTCCTGCCGTGGGGTCACAGCCTCACCTTCACCTCCAGCTGGCATCTTGAGCACCTCTTGGCTTCCCCGGGGTCCCACAAGTGTCTCCCTTCGTGTTCTGCCCTTCCTCATACCGCAGGGATTGCTTGTGGTGGCCTCAGCTTGGTGACAGACAGGGGCCGCTGTCTGGGCCTGAGGACGGGATCTGTGGGCCTGGACTTTCGGTTCTGGCCCTGGGAGCCCCACCTGCTGGGGTGGGGGGTCTGGTCTCTGTGGGCCCCAAGCTTCTTGCCAGGCGCCGCAGCCTCCCTCCTGGTAGTAGCGGCTCCAACACAGCGGTGGCCCGTGCCAGCCTCTCCTGGGTCAGGCGTCAACCATTGTCCCTTTCCATCCTCCCTGCCCTGCCATGAGGTTCTGCCGTGAGGCCACTGTGGCCCAGTTTTGCAGGTGAGGAGATCAGAACTGATGAGATGCCCAGGGCCCTACTAACTCCCGGTGAACTGAGCCAGGATGAAACTCTGAGTCTAGGTCCCGAGTCCCCACCCCACACTCTCACATGCCAGATTGGAGGGGCAGGTTCCTTCCGGGGGCCCAGCTTTCATGCCAAGAGTCCCCCACCAGGCTTGGTGTGTTCCGGTGGGAAACCTTCGTGCAGCTTGGGTGTAACGAGAAGGGGGGTCCCCTCCCCGTGCTGGGTAGAATGTGGTGACTTGTGTCCTCAAATGTTCCTGTATGTAATGTGATTCTTCCTCAAGATGTAACGTTCCCAGCTTTCTCCAGATCGGGTGACGCTTTCCTGAAGGTGGTGGGAGTCCATGGGGTGGTGTCGGCTTCAGATGGGCCAGGTGGGCGAGCCGGGTCGTGGGGAGGCGGGCACCGAGGCGGAAGTTCTGCTGCCACTCTGTTTTTGTACCTGAAATAAAGCGTGTTTTGCACTTGTTACTGTACCATTGTGTGGATGAGAGATCTGTCTGTGGGATCTGTGCTCGGGTCAGGATGCAAATAAACTCATTTGTAAGAAACCCCTGTGGCTCAAGCCTCCAGTCTCTCTCGCTCTCTTAAAATTGCGGTAAAATACAGAATAACACGAAATTTGCCGTCTTAACCATGCTGAAGCGCACAGGTCAGTGGCATCAAGTACATTCATATCATGCAAGTGTCCCTGCCTTCTGTCTCCAAGGACTTCCTCCTCTTCCTCAACTGAATCTGTACCCTTTCCCCCCAGGCTGTTCGCTCTGTCCCTGAGAAAGTGACCGTTCTGGGCACCGCATAGGAGCGGAGTTCTACAGTATTTGTCCTTCGTGACGCTGTGGCTCATTTCACTCCCACGCAGCATCCTCAGGGTCCATCCACACTGCTGCATGCGACAGGCATCCCTTGTCTAAGGCTGTGTGTGTAACCGCATCTTGTTGACCCACTC